CCTAGCTAGTTGAATGTCTGCAGATGGCATCTCTGATAGCACTTCAGTGAGGTGGATTCTGAGCTTAGGAGTGAGATGTTCTTCTACCTTTGCAGGCAATTGCTGATGCTTCTGGTCTGCTACAATATAAGTCTGGATGCAAATATTGCAATAACAAATAACCACAGGTGTTTTTTGAAGAACCAATAGGGTTTTCCAAAGGAAAGGTTTCTCTGGTCCCTACATCCAGGAGCTCAGGGTTCCGTGATTTCCAGGCAGGCTGCTTTTTGCACGTGTCCTGGAGTGTGGTGGGAAGTCACTGCTGGCTTTGCAGTTCACACTCCTGGTGAACCAGTCACCCTGAGCACTGTGCTGAGCCAACCTCCTCTTCTCCTGCTGGCCAGCACTGTCCATGGGGCTTGCTGGACCCTGGGGTGTTTTCCCTGAGTACCTACTGCCCATGCCCAGTGCAAGGCAGTGCCTGGGCTCTGCACAGAGTAGGTCTCATATGTGCTCCTGTGGGCAAAGGTCAGCCCCAGACAGAGCCCTGGTCCTCCCCACTGTGGCCTCAGGCTGTCCTGTGATCTTCTAGGCTGGTTGGGTTCTAGCATGCCTTTCTTCATCTGTCCCCTCCCTCCTACAGGAGTGAGGCCTGGCCAGGTCAGGAAGGGTTCCCTGGAGAATCAGTCTGTGCCAAGACCCCCAGAGTTTTACCTCTGTCAGGCTCCTTAATCTTCCCAGGGAGGAGAAGCAGCACACCTGCCGGCAAGGATGTCTTCTCTTGCTCTTCTCATCTCCCAAACTAAACCTTTGCCTTTCCTTGCTTTCTCTTCTGCTTTCTCAGATCCCATGTAGAGATCCTACACAGCCCGATGGCCTGTCTGCTCTGTTCAGAATATTTTAGTAGAGATATAATTATCCAGTGCCATACAGAAATGCTAGTCACTGTGCTTTATCCCAAGCCACTTCCCCACAGAGGCCTGCAGAGAAAGAGCACAGGGCAAAAGGAGTGGAAGACATGTCAGGTTTCCACATCAATCACCCCGAGGCTATTTACTGAACAACAAATGTAGCCTTGACCTTGGGGCTGTAGATGTCTTACAGCCTTGTCTGTGCCTAGCCCTAGAAGATAGAGAGTACTTGAAGATAAAGCATGCTCCATGCTGTTAAGGACATCATCAACAGGAGGCTCAACCAATTCCAGTGAGACTTCCATCAGCATCTGGAGACTACTCCTAAGCACAAGGAGGTGGGACGTGTGTTCCACAGCTGGGGAGGCACTTCCACAGATAAAAACTTCATTACCCCAAAACTGCGCTGCCCAGGTAAGGCAGCTACCTCCTGCATGTGGCCACGCAGGTGCAGCTTAACCCCTACTAAATCATACAGGAATGCCAGTCCCACAGCCACCTGGCTAGTGGGTCTCACACAGAGCCCTGACCTTCCTGGGCTTCTCCCATGAGAAGAATTTATGCAGGAGGCCTGAGCTGGAGGAGGGTGAGTGAATGTTGGGGAGCAGTTTAACCACAAGAGCCTCTACCCACACGTGCCCTTCAGTTCTCAACCACGCTAAATGGATGGATGGAGGGTCTCAGCCCAACTATAGTGAGCATGAAAAGAAAGGATGAGTCCTGCACTCAAAGGAAAGGGGGAAAGAAAATGGTTCAGAGGGTGTTTAACCACTTGTTCACACACTGGTATAGATAATTCAATTGATTTCTCACAAGTACATAGAAAAGAAATTATTTTGGAGACAGTATTTTCATACTCCAACTTTCACAAGCAGAAGAGTTCGGACTCCTGTAGATCAACCAGGAAGCCCAAGTCCATAGGCCTCAGGGGGGCAGAGTCGTTGACCTCCTAACACAACAGTCTCTCTGTTTCTCTCTCTCTCTCTCTCTCTCTCTCTCTCTTCCCAGCCTCAGGCCTGGATCCTCGTATGCATGTTGAACCTGGTCCCAGTGGGAGAATTAAGCTGACCTGCATGTCCCCAGGGTGGTACCCGGAGCCAGAGGTACAGTGGAGTGGCCCAGGAGGACTCCTTCTAGAACCTGCCTCGGAGACCAGGACTATAGCAGGAGATGGCCTGTTCCATGTGGAGTCCTCTCTCTCAGTCGGGGAAAATTCCACAGGACACCTGACTTGTTCCATCAGGAACCCTGTCCTCGATGAGGATAAGAAGACCCACGTGTCCATGGCAGGTCAGTTCCCTCCCAGGTGCTCATCCAGAAGTTCCAGTGCAGATTGGAAGCTGTGAGGAGCAGAGACCCCTGACACAGACTGCAATGAGGGTCCAGTGGGTGCCTTGCCACTCCTGAGTGGGGACCTCCTGAGATATACCCACTTCCCCTGTGCACTCCTGCTGAGGTCAACAAGGTCATTATTTCACAGGGTAGAAGGGGATACGCCAAAGCCTTCAAGAGTGATAGGAATAAGAGGATCTTTCAGAGTCCCTTGGAACCTTTCCATATCCTCCTGCTCAGACTTATCCACACATAACAATATGGGCTTTTTCCCCACCTGTCAATTTAGCTAAAATGCTGGCCACAGCCACCTCTGTGACCGTGATACATGCAGACCGTTTTGCGCCCAGTTTCCAACTACTAAAAAGGGCTAATAATACTGTGTCCACATGCAGTTGTCATGAAGGCTAATGATACAACTCATTTTGCAGGCAGAGAGCACCAAGCACCCAGGTATGCCCTTCACATACACAGAGTGACTGTCCAGGGGACATAGTCTGGCTCCAACACTGCCCTGCACCACCCTCTCCCTTTCCCAGCCAGGGAGCAGAGTGCAGCCTGTGCTCCAGGGTATTCTCAGGCCCTTCTCTTCTCAGCTCGTCCCCACCCTTCCTTCCTTTCCCTCCTCATTCCTGGTATCATTCCTTGGACGTACCCACCCCCTGGGGCTCATGGGCACTGGGAGCCACTTTTCTTCTATGTTCCCTCAAGCGCCCTTTCCTGCTGGTCCTTCAAGACCTAACCCAGGAACCATCTTTTCTATAGAACTCCCCTATCCCATGTGCACCAAGTGTGCCTCTTCCCGCCCCCATTACCCTGGATTATGTTTGCCTCCTCTCAGGCTGGGTGTGTGAGCCCCTGAAGAGAGGCTCTCTCAGGCCTTGAACTCCCCACTGCCTAGCAGACACCTGCTCCCAAGAACAGATTGCCTGGTGGGTGTGTAAGTGAACATCTGCAGGACGTTATCAGGACCACCAGATCTGGTGTCCACCGCTTTCCCTTGTGTGGGTCACATGTGTTGTAGATCATTAGAAAGAGAGAACTGGAATGAAGTTGGGAATTTGAAAATAAAAGAAAATATATTAGAGGATAGGGTTTTTTTGTGTGTGTGTGTAGGGGGGGGGGCGAAGTGTTTGCTTTTTTCTTTCTTTTTATTTTCTAAATGTTATTCTTGGAAATACAAACCTCCATGGGGGAAATTAACTCACTCCTCCTTAGACTTTGACAGTGAAGAAAGGTGTATAGAAAACTTGGGAGAAACTGGTGAGTCGGGGCTGAGCTTAGCAAACCTCAGCAACCCTCAGGACCTCACATGGAAGGCCCTGAAATCCACATGGAGGACGTGAAGGAGAAGGGCCTTCTTCATGTGAGTGCAGGAGGTCTGCTGAGCTGAGCAGTAACTCACAACCTGACGACCAGCTGCGCTCTGTGGTCATTTCCTAGCCATCTGGCTGAAGGACTGAATGAAACAGCCTGGAGAGAGGGCTGCTCAGGGCCTCTTCTGCAGATGGTGTTGGCCTCAGAGCCACTGTTACTGACCTCAGTCCCCCTCCAGCCCAGCTGGAACTCTGTTTCTGGGACCTGGCCAGGAGCTGTGCCTGGATTAGGCGCTGACACCTCACAGTTCCTGCACTAATCTGAGAAGAGCTCCAGAGGATCTCAGTCCTCAGACTGTCCTTAGACTCACATCCACGTGATGAGGAGGACAACTGGAGGAACAGGCCTATGATGAAGGCAGTTGGGGCCTCAGGAGGGCAGGGCAGGCAGGTGAAGGAGAGGCTCTGTGGCATCTGCAGACTGTTCCTTATTATAGGAGCACTGTGTGCCACTCGCGTCATGTAGGCTTTAGTGAAATCTGGAGCTGTTCACATGGTGTCTGCTGCGTTACTTTCCTCTCTTCAGCCTGTCCACACAGCTGCCTGGTTTGACAAGGCAGCTCAGGGCCTTCCCAGGCTGGGAGGAGGCAGGAAGTGGAGGTCCTTAGGAGTGATGGGTGGGCTGGGGAGGCTTGGGGTCTCTGCTACCTGGTGACGTCTCCATGAGGAAACAGGAAGGACTCGTCCCCATCAGCCAGGCCACCTGCAGTCAGCCTAGATCTCAGTGCCATGGTCCTGTTTTGCAGGTGACCTGTTCCCCAGGGTCAGCCCCTGGACTGTGGTGCTGGGGGTGCTCTTCAGCCTCTTGACTCTCTGCTTGGTGGTCACCGGTATTGTCCTCCTGAGAACCAGAAAAGCCAAAGGTAAGTTTGAACAAGGGGGCTGACATCATTTGTGTAGCAATTAGACTTACATGTAGATCATAAGTCTACTTAGGGTTTTTATCTTTTACTGTTGATTAGGAAAACATGAAGAATAGGGAGGGATGATCCATTGACACACTCTTAGGTGCTGGGTCTGAACTTCAATTCGCCTTTGAACTCACTTTACCCACTTCTTGACTCATTTCCTTCTTGATAATTTCCAAGAAACATGCTTTCCATGCAGGAGAGAGGTGAGCTGCTTATTAAGGAGGCTTCTGAGTGCTCTCCAGGACCCTGTAGCCACACACTCTGTCCTCAAGGCACATCACAGAAAGCTCTGTGTATGGACAAGAGTGGGCCATCCGCCATCCACCAAGTACCATCCACCAAGCACCATCTGCCATCCACCATCTTCCATCTGTCTTTTATTTTTTTCCTTTTTACTACACGTTGGGTCCTGCACGTGGGACACAAGGCCTTGGGCCTGGTAGGCCACCTCTACCTCTGAACCACATAATAGCACCCATCTTCCTTCTTCACTACTTTTTCCAGTGGCCTTCCTGCTGACCTGGACATGGCTCCTGATTCAGAAATATCGGTGAGGGGAAAAATGATTCGTATTAGAATGTTTTCTTCCTTTCTCTACATTTGGGGTGTGTAGGTGTGTGCTTACTGGGTTATATTTGTCAAGAGAATGAAGAGTTCTGTTTTCTCTGGTGGTCTATAGATTAAATGTCAGATGACATCTAATAGTCACAAAATCTCTCCTGTCTTATAATCCGTCTCCTCTCTGACTTGATCTCATAATGACCTGAACCTCATGCCTTGGGTTGGCCTTCTCTGGAACAAAGATAGCCCCAGGTAAGAGCTGTGGCCAGGGCTGCCTAGCGCACCTGCCCAGGGACATCCAGTCAGGCTTCACCTGACTGCAGGAGAAAGGACAGGAGGAGGGGTCTTACGGCAGTCCTGAAGTATTCATCCTCCCATGGGGACATAAGTGGAGATGGACCATAGGGGAACACCCAGGATCCCAGTAAATGCCCTGCAAGACCAGATTGATCTTAGGCCTCTAATCACACAGATGATCCTCCTGTAGGGCGCATACTCTCCTTCCTGTCTGAAACCTCCCTGTGCATTGTCTTAAGCTTCCAGTCTAAGAGGAACCAGGGAATCGGGAGAGCTAGAGGAGCAACAGACCAGGTGGAGGGGAGGGAGCATGGGCAGGGCCACAGCCCCCACATTCCATAGAGAGTGGGGTCTGGGTGGGAAGATTGTTTAAAGGGCTAATTGGAGAGCTATTGAGTCTGCTCCTTCTCAACTTCCTGGCTTTCAGGTGGCTCTTAAACCAGTCACAAAGGCCAGCATGGCTGTCATACAATCACATGGAGACCAATCTTGTATGAAAGCCTGTTTATATGGGTTGGGCACAGTTCTGAAACATACTAGATAGTTTCTACTTTGGAACTTGTGGAAGGGCTTCTGAGGACACGTGCTGAAACCTGTGGCATGGAATTCCTGCATGGAGAAGCTGTCCGAGGTGTTGGGGGATGCACATGGACACTGTAACTGACAGTGGTTCTTTGGCCACGTGGAGCCCATCTGGGGGCAAATGAGTCTGGGGATTGGATTACATGAGTTGCACTGAGAGCACCTTCTGTGGCTGATGACACCTGGGCAGGATGCAATTGGGGACATTTTAAGGTATGGATCAGAAAACAACAGGAGTATTTTTTTAAAGCTGTGGACACATGAAGTGCATTTTTATGGACATGCCCCTTGCTTGACTTTTAAGAGGAGCCCTGCTCATTTGCCCAAGGGAGGATGAAGCAGTCCCTACCTAGTCCTCTGTCCAGTGATATCTGTCCCTTAAGGAAGTCCTCACTTTGAATTATTCCACTTATAACGTGGAATTTGTGTGTGTGTGTCAGTTATAAATTATCCCCAAAAATACTCTGGTGAGACTGAGAATCTTGAAGCTAGTTTCATGCAAATCTCTGAAAATCCAGAGAATGATGTGCAGAATTTATAGATATTAATACCTGTTTTCTCATCTTTGGGACTTCAGCCAAAACTTGAAAAGAGAAGGAATCCTATTCACTCTCCCATCCTATTTACAAGTAAACACAGTTGGAAATCTAAAGGTGGTTTCCAGGTTGTGACATGCTTGTTTATTCAGAAACCTGGAGTCCTCTCTGTGCCTCTCCTGAGCTGGGCTGACAAGCCTGGGCCCAGGTGCTGCTTTGTCCTTGGGGTTGAGTGGTGAGATGGACCTCATCTACTAGGGAGAGGAGGGTGCTCTCCATCAGGCTTGTGTTGAGGTTGCTGTTTCTTTCCACAGAAGCAGTGGACAGAGTGAATGATGTGATTACTGAGGTTTGACAGGCAGTGTTGGACCTTTAAAACCAACATTGCCTAGTTCATGCTCTTTTATTATTATAGGAACACCAGAGTCCACATAGAATTGAATGTGCCTCTCTGACCCCAGGCACGAAGTATCCAACACACATTTCTCTACAAGTATTTGCCCCGGGGAAGTTGTTCACATATGTGCAGCTGGAGGAGATGGGCTGGTTTTCTGGGAGCTGCAGAGCTTGCGTGTGTCTATTAGGGGAAAGTTGGTTGTTCTATGTACTTAGCACAGACCACCTGTTCTGTGTGATCATTAACAAGAAATGAAGGAGGTGCCATTAGAGCTCATAGATGTGAGGCTTGGCCTTGTCACCTGGCTGTGGAGCTGCTGAGGAGCTAACACTGAGGTAAGGACGGGGCTGGGGACAGCGAGGAGAGCAGCAGGACATGTGAGGAAAGGAAGTCCCTAAACCCTGGAGTGGCTGACCCCCTGGTTCTAGCAGAGGAGATGAACAGTAGATAGGAGACAGACTCAGAAGGCTCCAAGGCAGACTCCAGGGCACATGGCATTTTATCACTTTGCTAAGGATTTAGAGGGCGACAGAACAGGGAAGGTTCGTTCAGAAAAGGGCTGTTGTGACTGGAGTGACTTTGGGACATGGCATTTATTCCCTGGGAACAGGATAGGTGACTAGGGTGCAATTTTCAGGAGGAAGTCAGGAAGGATCCATGGAAGTTCGGTCCTGTTGTCACCAGAGTAAATAGAGCTAAAAGTCATGCTTGATCATTCACTTGTCAGTGTTTGGTCTTCAATGCGACGACTGCTGTCCACTCCTGGTTCATTATGAAGATTAAGTAGTGTGTAATCCACTTAAAGACTAGAGGTAGAGCCAAAGGGAGGAATCCTGTGTAACTGAGTGCTTCGTCTTGCTGTGGATGGCTAGATTCATTGTTCATTCTGATGTGCCTTAGGAAGGAGGGGAGCAAGTGACGTTCATCCTCATTTTCAAAGGACCTGCCCTGGAGCTGAACTTTCTGGGTTTAAGTTATGTCTCTTATCACTTAGTAGCTTCATCCATCTCTCAAAATACTTTCAACCTCCTGGGCACCTTCTGCCTTTGCAATAAGGCCACAATAATGCTAAGACAGGGGTACAGTTAATATTCAAAAGATCGGAACAGAGCTTGTATTTTGGTGGCAATTGTGCAGTTATTGGGTCTGGGAAGGGGAGATGGTTTTATCTGGGACCCTGTGAGGCTAAAATGAACTTAGTGCAACTGCTTAGTTTTGATCTTTCTGTGTAAAGAACAAACTGACTCATTGAAGTCATCACATAGAAAACAAGGTGTCACTGGACAGAAACTTCTCTCACGTGACTGCTCCAGCTACATGGTCCAGCTGATGGTGGTGATAACACTGAGCCGGTGGTATTGCTGTGTCACAGGACCCAGGCATCACCTGTACACATGGAGTGGAGAAGGGATTTTTGATATTGGTTACATTTCTATTTTCACTAATTCATGTAATTTTTCTTTTTCTTTTGCTAGTTTTCTTCTTGGTTAAAGTCACAAAGAAAAGTGATTTTTTTTTTAATTTTGGCATGTTATATTAGCCATTCTCTGTTAGGAGGAAAAATCTTTAACTAACCTCATGAACATGATAATTTGTCCAAGAAATGGCAGTGGGCTAAATTTTTAACCCTCAGTGAGGTTTCCTCCTAATTCCAGAGCATACTAGTAATGGTGTCATAAACATCAGCATGTGGACAACAGGTACCAGTTACCTGCCCAGGGTTCTTTCCTCAGAGCCAACAGTGTAATGTGATTTCACTTTTTCAAATCACACACCACTGTACCCTCAGATAAAGTTCCCAGTGAATGCAGATACCAAGAGAACCCATCCCCTGGTTTTCAGAAGGGAGAGCCAGCCACACCTCCCTACACTGCCTCTGTAGTGACACTTGGGTCTGCTCCGTTGCACAGGGTGCCACCAGAACACGATGCTCCACCACGAGAGCTAGGGCATGCTGTCCAGAGAAGTAGAGCTGATCCACTGCAGGGCCTGCTGGGCCCTCTAAAGCTTGCCCACCTTGTGCAGCTATATCATGAGATGGTTCTGGGGTGGCTGCCAACTCCACAGAGTGAGCAATCCCCTCCACCAGAATCCTGCTTCTCCTACAACTTTTCCAAAGTGGGCTTTTCTATTCTTGAACACATTTGTGATAAACTAAGAAAACCACGTAATAAAAAACACCATTGCAAATTTTGTGTGCACAGCCTTACTTGCCTCAGACACCTGGTGCAGTTCTGATCTTGGCCCAGCCCTGGGAGATGGTGCTCTCTTAGCTGCCCCTGCCTTTTCTCACTTTGAAGTCACACTCAGATCCAGACCATCTGCTGAGAAGGACCTTCCCCACAAGGCAAGCTGTGCATCAGCTGTGAGCTGTCCCCAGTGGACCTGCAGGACAAAACTCCACCCAGGCTGGATGCAGCATCAACCGTGAACTGATCCCCATCTGAAATGACACCTCCACTTTTTCACATTCCCAGTAATTCTGCTCAACCTGTATTCCTAGAACTGAATCAGTTCTGGTTTGCAGTGAAGGAGAAAATAAATGAATTAGAAAAAAAAATCTGGAAGAAGAGACCATT